GATGAGGGCCCGGGGTGACAGGTGCCTGTGAGAGGGGCACTGTCTGCGTCTGTCAGGGGCTCAGTGACCCAGAGCCAGGCTTTGAAATGGGCAGTTTCAACTGTTACGTATTTGCTTGGCGTGCATTTTTGTCAAGATGCCTCTCATTCAGCACTTGTTGCGAGAAAATTCTTGCTCTGGGGCTCCGTTGTGTGCTTAGTGTTGCTGGCCTTTCTAGAAAACCTTGCTGGTGACAGAGCTTGCCTCTGGGACCCTGATGGCCTGCCTCACACACTGGCCATGCGGCCGCCACCTGCCTCCTGCTGTGGGCCACGTGAGCCTTGCCCCTGTTGTGTCTCTGCGTCCTGGTGCTGGCGGCCAGTGCAATCCGTCCCCACCACGCAGGGTTACTAGCTCTCAGGGGCCTTGTGTGAGGGACAGAAACTGGAGAGCCCTTTCCTTCTGAAGCTGGTGACCTCATGAGTGTGGCGCCAGCCCCAGGGTGGACGGAGAGTCTGCAGAGTGTCTGGTGGTCCCGCCAGCCTTCCCCACACGGTCTGGCTTACTCTCCTCTCCCTAAAGGAAGCTTTCATGAGCCGCTTAAAGATGGGGTTCCTCCTCCCTGGACCCTGACCTTGGACCTAGCTCCCCTGTGCTTACCTATTTCTGGGCCTCTTTTGGGATTTTACTGGGTTTTGATCAGGGGATACAGACAAGGGGCACGAAATCAGCAGGTGACAAAATTCGAGAACTTCAGGTGTAGTTGAGGTTACAGGCAGCTGAGAGTTTTCTCTAAAACCTCACAGACAGCCGGGCCCGGGGAACTGCCTATGGGACCGAGGGAGGACGGGGAGGGGAGGTTGTGGCCAGGCCCTGGGTGTACTTGTCCACTGCTGGAGAGAGAGAGTTCAGGTGTGAAAGACAGGAATTACCACAACAAAAGCACTATGCTGGGTTCAGGTGTTCATAAAAAATGCAGAAATCCCTTAGAATGTTTGTTTTGTTGGAAGAGGACAGTGGACACCAGGATCTTTCCCGGCATGAGCAAGGAGTCCCGTAGCCGCACCCGCTGGACGGTGGGAGAGGACCCGAGAAGCTGCCGTCCCCCGGGGAGAAGGCGGACGGCCCGCTCGGGCAGGGGGTGGATCTGCCTTTCCTCCACCATTTTGTTCTATTGGGGCCTCAACCCATCGGCAGATGCCACCTGCCCTGTGGAGGGGATTGTTACACAGTCTCCTGACCCAGGCGCTGATTCCTTCTGGAAACGTCCTCACAGACACACCTGTGGTAACGTTTGACCAGCTGCCCGCGCCTCTGCTAGGTGACAGGTGAAGGGAACCCGCGGCTGCCAGCAGGCTGCGGGGACGGGGCTCTGGCTTCATCCCAAAAGACCTGGGGGAATTGGCGGGGCCTTCTCCTGGGCCTCCGGGGTCACCGCCATTTGGCTCCCCCATGATTTTCTCAGCATTTCTCAACATACGACCTTACGGTCTCGACATACGACCTTAACCACAGACAATAAACCAGAAGATATGTGAAGCAGTAGATCCCAGAGTATTACGTGTTTTGACCTCAAGTCTCGGGGTGTCCACACAGGCGCCCTGGGTGACCCTGGGGCGAGTCGGAGTGCTGGATCCCACCCTCTGTCTCCCATCACAGATACCCCGCCTCCCCCTCCCAGCCTGGGACCAAAGCTGCCTGAAGGGCAGGCTGTCAGCTTTCTGGGACCAGAGTTCTTATCTGTCACTGGAGGCGTCCCCAGCGTGTGTGGCGCAGGGCATGCACGGAGGCCGAGCCTGGACAGAAAGAGCTCTGGGGCTTCTGGGCTACCACCAGGCGGGACAACAAACAATCAGGGACCCCCGGGACCCCCCGCACCCTGTCCCCTTGGCTGGGCTGAGCTCTCAGTGGCCAGGACGGGCCCCCATCATAGGGAGTTGGTCACAGCAGCATGCTGGCCTGCCCCGCACCTGCCCTGTCCTTCCCGGGGTTTCCTAGCCTGGACACTCAGAACAACACGACCTGGCTTTGGCTGAGCCCTTGCGATGTGTGCGGTCCTTCCGCTGTAAGAGTAGAGAGACCTGCTTAGGTCACTGCTGGGGACATGTGTCATTTTCGTAAAGGCGAGTGTGGCCTGGCGTCATCCCCAGCAGGATGGGTGACAGACTCGCATGATGGTGGTGGAGGCACGGCTTAAGGACTTCTGTCCCTGCTCCTGGCTCCGCTGTAAGCTTTACTCCTTCGTCATTCACAGCATACGTGACGAGACCCCGCCGAGCACGGTCTACGCATTACCCAAGGGGTCTCCACGCCGTAGCGGGAGGAGAGGATGAGGAAACGAGCCGCCGTGTTGGGAGGTCGCACAGCGATAAGACCATGAAGAGCCTGGAAGTCGTGTGAAGGGGCAGTGAGCGGTGACATGAGGACTGCTGCGCTGGGCGGCACGGGGCACAGGGCTGGAGCTAGGCTCTCTCCGGAAGTGCCTTCTGGACAGAGACTTGAACACAGTGCAGGGACGAGCCCTGCAAAGCTCCGGGGGAGGAGGACCCAGCAGGGGCACGGCAAGGGCAAGGGGTCCCCGTAAGCTTCACCGAGACATGTGCATCTTTTTAGGGCGTAGTCTGAGTCCCGGCAAATACACGCGCTCATGTAACCGCCAGAAGCACAGTCAAGACAAAACATTCCATCGTCGCCAAGAGCTCCCCTGTCCCCTTCGTGGGGAGCCCTCAGGCCCGCCCTCCTGACGCCCCAGCCACAGCCAGTGAGCTGTCCCTGTGGGGGACACTGCAGTCACAGAGACCAGGAGCCCTTCTTTCTCTTCAGCACCGGGTGGGAGTCCGTTGTATGGCCTTTGTCCATTAGATTGATTTGTTTGCCAATTTGGGGGTATTTGCGTTGTTTCCAGCTTTGGAGACTGTCATCAAACCGCTAAAAGCACCCACGCACAGGTGTGGTGTAAATGGTGTTTTTCACTCTGCTGGGGTCAGAGCCCAGGCGGAGGCTTGCTGGCTGCTGTGGTCAGGGTGGGCGTAGCTTTATGGGAAACTACCGAACTGAGAAACCATGGTTTAAATGTTTAAACCTTAGTCTTCACCGCAACGGCTTGGGGTAGGTGCTGTCCTTACTCCAACCTGCAGGTGAGGGCACGAAGCTGCCCTCGGGTTAGGCAGCTGGCTGGGGGGCACGAGGCTGGGACCCGGCAGATCTCAGGAATCGGAGCTCCACCCTCTCGCCTGATGCAAAGGCTTCCCTGCCCGCTGGCCCTGCCGGATCCCACGCGGCCTCCTCTGCTTCCCTGCCTCCACCCGCCTCAGACAGCCCGGCCCGGCCTTCGTGCCTCACCTGCCCATCGGCGCGTTTTCTCCCGAGGTGATGCCGTGTGGGCTCTCCAGGGGGAGTGCTCACTCCCATGAGGCCTGGGGCTGCTGTGTCCAGGAACAGCCTGCTTCTCCTGCTGCTGGCACCTGGCAAAGCCGCTGGTCTCCAGCAGTGGCCCAGGGAGCAGGAGGCGCCCCTCCCCCCATGGAGCTTGCTCCTGCTTACTCTTCTCCCAGGCCTGGCACCAGCCCAGGGACACAGCAGTATCCAGAGGTCTCTACCACGTCTTCTGGGACGAAGGCCAGCTCAGGGTCTTTAAGTTCCAACTTGTCTGTCGTCCGCACGACTTGTTCTCCGCACACAGTCTTCGCAGAGGCCCTGCCTGTCTTCAGACCGCCTCCTCACCTGCTGTGTGGTGGTCAGCTTGGGGTTTTTCTACTGTGCACCCAAGTCCTACATCCCCCCACCCAGTAGTCCACGGTTATAGCCACAGAGCTGTGCCTCCCGGACAGAACTTCATAGTCTTAGGAGTCTCCGAGGCACGCGGTGGCTGGCAAGCTAGCGGGAGCCCTGAAAGACGGCCGGAGAGCTCAGACGACGTCATCTGGGGAGGGTAACGGGGAGGAGAGGGGCTCTCGGGATCAGGGGTGGCGTGGCCTGGAGTGGGCTCTGACGTGGTCACACTTCTGACCCACGTCGGAGTGTGCAGGGACCAAACCTCCCTGCCCGGGAGTGCTCCCAGGCGGCTGCGCAGAGGGAGAATCCTGGAACAACCCCCACCACACACACACATAGAAATACGCACTAACACACACACACACGTTTAAAACCTTTTACTGAATCACTTCAAGGTATTTCAAATATTTTCAAAAATATTCTTAAAGTAATACCAGATTATTGATTCAATAGTATCAATACTATATAGTTCACATTCTATTTTCCCTGTCTCCAAAGTTTCTCCTGTGTCTTCTTCTTGACCTGGAATCTGATCACGGCTCCCAGCAAGCTGTCCCGCCTCCCTTGTCTCCGGCCCTGCCTGCCTTTCTCTGTCCTCATGACCTTTGGAGCTGGCTCTGTCAGAACAGCCCACACTTGGAGTGCGTGTCTCCTCCCGGTGACAGGTGAGAGGATGTCCCTGTGCCCACACCAGGGGGCACATGGGAAGGGGCTGTGAACCCACTGGCTCGGGCAGGGGTGTCGGCCCCGGTGCAGGGAGGAGCTGTCCTGGTGTCAGGGGCTGACCTTACTGTCTGAGGAGCCGGGGCACGGAGTATAGCCCCATGGTGAGGAGGTCTGCACCCCGCCTGCGAGGAAAGCCACCGTGAGGGGCAGGTGTCTTGGAGGAGGGCAGGTGTCCGCAGAGGGGGATAGGTGACTGTGGGGATGGCAGGTGTCCACAGAGGGCAGGTGTCTGTGGGGGGGCAGGTGTCTGTGGGGGGGCAGGTGTCTGCAGACGAGGTCTAGGAGCAGGTCCCACTGAGGAGAGCTCGGGGTGTGTGTGGGAGTGGGACTCGGAACAGGGACCTGTGGCTGAAGCCTACGGAGGAAACCAGGGGACACGATGGCCTTGGATGGAGGCCACATGTCACTGCACAAAAACCCATGAGCTCTGGGCTGTCACTTGGGAAACAGCGACGTCCTGCGGGGCCCGTGCTCTAGTCACATGACAGCAGAGGCCACAGGATGGGGCCTGGGGCCGTGCAGACCTTCCCACTTGCACATCCCCACCCCAGGACGGCTTGGGGTGCAGGGAAGGGTGTGTGGACTCAGCTTCGAAGAGCTGTGGAGACTGGGGGCGATGCCACCTTCACCTGCGAGTAGATGACCGAGGAGTGCTGGGGTCTGGAAGGCTGCTGGCTGGTGGCCGGGCCACGGGAGGGCAGGTAGGTCCGGAGGAGCCCGAATGCAGAGTTCGAAGCTGCTGTGGGAAGAAAAGCTTATTTGAGAATATACACATTTGGTTTGTCCTGATGAATCTTAATATAATCAAAATAGGATTAGAGGAAAAAAAAAAAAGCAGCACTCAGCTGGCCAAGATGGCCCAGCCCTCTTGCCCGGCCCCACACCCCCAATGTCCCCGACCCAACCTGGGTCCCCTCCCCGCCCAGACGGCAGCATTCCTGTACCGCCAGGGCCCTGTCTCCAGCAGAGCCCAGCCTCTCCTCCTCTCCTGAGAGCAGGAATCCACCTCTTCTCTTGCTAATGCTTGGAGCTCAGACTCCTCTCGCGTACCCTCGTGTGCCGGGTACGGTCCCGCCCACTATGAATGAACACAGAAGCCCACGGACCGCATTTATTTACAGCACCTGGAACTGTACTGGGCGCAGAGGACCTTAACACATGTCGGTGGGATGCTAGGTATTGTGATTCTTTTACACACTGTCCTAATGGAATGGACGGGGCATCCGGCAAGCGGTTCTCTCCTGCTGGCCTGGCGGGACCATCCAGGCTTTGCGACTTCAGGAAGTCACTCAAGGTCCTTGGCCTTAGGTCCCTCATTTATGACCCACTTCAAAGGAGGCTGTGAGCGAGAGTGAGCTCCTGTGTGTGACAGGTGAGCCGCTGAACGGAGCATGAGCACAAACACAGTTCATTTTACTTTATACAAGAGGACTGGGAAACCAGAGAGGGAAGCAGAATGGCTAAAATCACACAGCACTCCTCACAGGGCAGTGGAAGGGAGTCTGCCCCTGGGCCTGTCTTCCTTGTGCAGGAGGGAGCCAGGCTGGGGCCGTTCCTGGCTGATCACCCACCGGAGAGGACAGGCAGAGCCAGCCCCCCAGCGCTGAGTCATCCTTGAGCGGCTGGGATGGCATCTCCAATTCTGCTTTCTCAACCCTGTGGGTTAGGGTGGGAGGCAGAGTCTGGCCCCGAGACATCCATGTCCTAGTCCCTGGAACCCGTGACTGGGTGACTTCACAGGGGACTTTGCAGATGCGATTAAGGTAAGCACTTTGCAATGAGAGATTATCCTGGGTTCTCCAGGTGAGATTTCGGGAAGAACTTTCCCAGCTGTGCTCAGAGGGAGACCCGATTTGGACAAATGATCAGAGGGACACAGCACAGCACCGCCCACTTTGAAGACGGAGGAAGGGGCCCTGAGCTGGGGGGAGGGGTGTCCTTGAGAAGATGGAAAGGGCAAGAAAGTGCTTCTGCCTCCGGAACCTCCAGAAAGGAGCGCAGCCAGGGCAGACCCTCGATGTGAGGCCGGGGTACTGGGGCCCCAACACAGTAAGATAATGTGTGGGTGACACTCGTCATGGCAGCCACAGAAGCTGATGGAGGGAGGATGGGAAGGCTAGCCCGTGTTCTATGACAGTAGGGAATGCCACAGCCCTAACAAGGCAGGTGTCTCATGAGGCCGTGAGTGGGGGATGGAGAGCGTGGCCTGCACGGTGGGGCCAGGGACCCCAGCAGGGCAGGCGGGTAGCGACCCCGCGTGAGGGTGTCTCTGTGTCCCATTGGCCCAGACCTGCAGAAGGGCTGGAGGCCACTCTGCTCGCCGCCCACACCTTTGAAGTCAAGAGTCGCGGGTCTTACCTGCATGTCCGTTCCCCTCCTGAATCCGCACTTCCGAGTACACCACGTCTCCTGCTTTAGGGTTGACTGAGAGAGAAAGTGCAGTTTGAGAGAGCTACAAGGTCCTTGCCTCTTGTCCAAGCTATTCCCCAGCCGGAGCTTGTCCTCCACACAGCCCCGTGGTCCCCGCCTGCCTCACCCCTGCCTGGACCAACCCTGGGGTCCCTGCCCAGGTGGGCACCGTTGGTCCTCACCATTGCCGTACACCGGCTGCAACTCCATCCAGCCTGGAACATTGTAGTAGGTGGGCTCTTGGGGCTCCGAGTGCGAAAGGCTCCTGCGAGACAGAAACAGCCACGTCTCCCAGCAGCCCTGACGGAGCAGCTGTGGCCACCAGTCCCCGCTGCCAGGTCTCTCTACCGCCGGGTGGCCGCCAAGCCTGGACGCAGAACCGAGCCCACAGCCGATGGTCTGCTGTGGGAAGCGATCACGTTACAGATCACGATGTTTCCAGACTTCGTGGGCACCTGGTACGTAGCAGGCACTGTGCTAATGTTTATAAAACTATGAAGCTGATTCTGCCATTATCCTCTTTTATAGATGGAGGAGGGGATGGTTCCAAGAGGCGAAGTGACTTGCCCAAGACCACGTGACTATGAAGGACAAAAGCCAGGATTCCAACTCTTAGAGAGACCAGGATCTCAGAGAAGTCAGTCATGATCAGGGCCCAGAGGAACTCTGCATGGTTTGGATGCTGGGGCCATGGGCTTGCCCAGAGATGGATTGTGAGCCGTGGCAGGGCTCCCAAGGTTAGCCTCTGAGATCCAAGATGGCAGCCCCTTCTTCACAGGCAGTGCCCCTGGGTGGCCGGTCATGTGACTCCATCTCTTAGGATGTCCCCAGAGCAGGTATTAGGTTGGTCATGGCCAGAGCTTTGCACGCTGACCAAGCTGAGACTCGCTTAGGACACAGATGGATTCAGTCTTGTAGTGGTCACGCAGACCACCAAGGCAACAGGGGTAGAGAAGTATGTCACTAAATTTTATTCAGTACCTCTTGATGCAAGAAGGCGTATATGGCTAAGGTGGTGGTGAGACCGTCCTGGCAATTGCCTTAACATATGCCCAGGGAAACAGTAACATGAAGGTCACACAACCTACCTATCACACAACGTGTCGCACAACCCAGCAGTGACCAGACCTGGTTCATTTTTATCCCCTGTGGGCATCTCATGAACCACACACAACATAGTCTGGGACATACCTGGAGGGGTCAGAGGCTGGCCTTCCTCCTGCAAAGGAAAACAGAGGGTCACTGGGGCCAGGAGAAGGGGGCCTTTCCAAGGGACACAGGTGCTCGGAGGGTCAGGAGAACCTGTCGTGGGTCAGCGGGACTGGGAGGACCCGGCTCTGCTATGCCCAAGGGAGGTGGCAGATGGGGCAAGATTGCTGGCCCTGGCTCGCAGTGGGGCACTGTTACACCACGGAAGAGGATTTTGTCGAGAGCAATGCTGCGTAGCTGCAGTGGGAAACAGGTCCGACCAGCCGCGGAAATACTACCCATGAAAGAACCAGCAGGTCATCAGGTCCCACTGAGTTTCTTTCTCACTCCCATTTCTCGGTCTTTCTCCTCTTCCTCCCATTCCCTGGGGGCTCGTAAGGGTCCAGAGGGAGACATGCTGAGGTTTGTGATGCTGGATAAAGTCTGTCTCACGGAGGCATCTTCTGTGCACTAGGGCTGTTTGGGCAACTCTGTTTGTAAAGATGAATTCTGGGGAAGTGGGCGGGGAAGGTGGGCACCGGGACTGCGCAGGGGGAGGAGGTGCTGAGAGCTCAGGGGTGCTTACAAAAGCAGCAGGAGCCTGAGGGGAGGGGGCGGGGAGGGCAGGGACTCAAGCGAAGATAACCCACCTGCTCTCCTGGGGAGACAGCAGTACAACAGCAGAGCCATGACCACGAGGCCCGCCACGCTGAGCAGGCCCCCAGCCACGCCTGTGGCAACAGGGCCACTTCTGCTCCCTGTCAGCCCTGGAGGGGAGATCCCGCATGTGAGCTGGAGGGAGAGGCTCGTGGTCTCGCACTGCTCTGACCCCTGGAGCTGATGCCCGGGCCTGGGAGGGAGGAAGAATCCAGGCACCAGGACTGGGAGGCTAGGCAGCCTCCTGGGAAATGGCTCTGCTCCCGGGGAGGGAGCTCATGTCTGCAGCTGAGGCCGGGCTGGAGGGCCGGGCTGGGCGGGGCCCAGCGGTGAGCATCAGATCAGGGATCCTCCTTGGCTCTGCTCCCACTCAAGCACTGTCCCTTCAGAAACGCTTCAGAAGAGGACCACATGGAGAACTCTCAGCTTTGTGTCCCTGTCCCTGAGAAACTGTGCCCAGCTCACGCACGATGAGGATTATCAGAACATCCTTGGAGGAGACAGCTGTCCACATCTGCGGCCTGGGCACAGGAAACCCACCTGTGACGCGGAGTGACACCTCCTCGCTGCGCTGGGCCCCCAGGCCGTTGTCGGCCTCACAGGAGTAGTTTCCAGAATGTTCTGCGGTCAGAGAGAGGTTGAAGGACACTCCTCCTCCAGAGGGGGCCGAGCTGCTCCCCAGGATGACATCTTCGAGGTAAAACTGGTACAGGATTGGGGGAGAGCCGCTCTGGGCCTCACAGCGAAGCTCCACCATGTCCCCCACCGTGGCCCGGGTCCCTGGCGCCCTGAGGGTGAGGACAGGGCGGGACGCTGGGACTGAGGGAGACAAAAGTGAATACAAGTTCCTATTTCTAACATGTTCATAAACGAGCAGAAATTATAACACGTGGCAGAAGTCAGACTTCAACCTTGGATTCAATCTCTAGACGGAAACTCCTATGACAGACAAAGCTAATGACCTTCATCGACAGACGCACAAAAATACCCAGCAGAAAAGTGTGGGAAGGTGTGAATTGCTGAAAACATCAAGCAGTCAATAAATAGATGAAGAGATGATTGTTTCTATTCCTAATTAAATACATACAATAAACACACCCATCAGAAGGGCAAAACCTGAAGAGACAGATAATACTCTTGGGCCTGTGGACAAACAGATCTCACCACGCTCTGGAGGGACTGTGGATTTGAGACACTTTCTCGCATGGCAAAAATTGCTGATTTAGAACGCACATCACATTTGACCCCACAAATCTACCTGTAAGACTGCTTCCTTTAGGGATACTGACGTGAGTTAGGCAAAGGCATTTGTGCAAGGATTTCTGTGGTAGAATTCTTATAATAGCTAAAAACTAGAGACAACCTTGTTAAGTGAGTAATGAAATACAAAAGACATCGAAGATGTATTCTTTTATGTGAAAATGCAGGTTGTAGAATTACATATAACCTGATTCTACCTCTGTGAAAAAATGTTATATCTCTATGTTTATAATATATTTGAATATTTCTAGAAAAATACCCACGAGTTTAGCAACTTAGGGGTGGACTATTTGGGGTTTTCTACATAGACTGTATGTCATTTGCGGAGAGTGGAAGTTTGGCTTCTTCTTTGCCAGTCTGGATGCCTTTTATTTCTTTGAATTGTCTGACTGCTGAGGCTAGGACTTCGAGAAGGTATTATGCTAAAAGAAATAAGTCAGTCAGAGAAAAACAAATACCATATGATTTCACTCCTATGTGGAATTTAAGAAACAAAACAGTGAACACGGGGGGAGGGAAGAAAAAATAAGATGAAAACAGAGAGGGAGACAAACCGTGAGAGACTCTTAACTCTAGGGAATAAGGAGGTTGCTGGGGTGGAGGGAGGTGTGGGGGGATGGGGCAACTGGGCGTTAAAGGGGGCATATGATGTTGTATGCGACTGGCGAATCACTAAACTCTGTCTCTGAAATTAATACTACATATGTTAACTAAATTAAATTTAAGTAAAAAAGAAAAAAGAAAAAAGAAAAATACCCGTGAGACTCTCTCCTTTTCTTCCCCGTGAAACATTAACAATGGTTATATCTTGGAAGTATGTGGACGTGAAAGTGTGTTTGTTCCTGCAGGGAGGTTGAGACCTTCACTTTTCATATTGTCCCTTTTGTGGCTTTCATTTACTTATCATGAAGATTTATGTCTTCCTTCAGGATAATTGCTAAAAACTCGAAAGTTGAACACCCACCATTTGCATTGACATGGTTGGAACTGGAAGGAATTACGCTAAGTGAAGTAAGTCAAGTGGAGAAGACACTTATCATGTGGTTTCACTCATACGTGGAACATAAGAAATAGCACATAGGATGATGGGGGAAGGGAGGGAAATCTGAAGGGGAGAATTCAGAGAGGGAGACAAACCATGAGAGACTCTGGACTGTGGGACCCAAACTGAGGGTTTCAGAGGGGAGGGGTATGGGGTAGCCAGGTGATGGATATTAAGGTGGGCATGTGTTGTAATGAGCACTGGGTCTTATATACAACTAATGAATCACTGAATCATCAGAAACTAATGAGGTACTATATGCTGGCTAACTGAACGTAATACAAAAATAAAATACAATAAAAACTCAAAAGTTGTGCGAAAACACAGCCATAAAGGAATGTCACAATGCAGACTCAGGTGAAGACCTGGGTAGACCCATTCTTCAACCTGGCTTTCCCATTGCCAGCTACATGTAAACTGGCTATTTTCTACCTCTAAGCCTCTCTTTCCTCTCCTGCAAATTGGGGATAAAAGTGGTTTCACTGGTTTGAGATGAAATGAGATATTACACGCTAAATACTAAGCACAGGGCCTAGTACAAGTAAGGACTCAGAGATGATGATGATGATGATGGTGACGGTGGTGGTGGTGGTGATGGTGATGATGATGGTGATGGTGATGATGATGGTGATGGTGGTGATGGTGGTGATGGTGGTGGTGATGATGGTGATGGTGGTGGTGATGATGGTGATGGTGGTGGTGATGGTGGTGATGGTGGTGGTGATGGTGGTGATGGTGGTGGTGATGGTG